GTTATGCATTCAAAATATTAGAGAAATATAGTAGCTCAATGCGGAGAAAGTCTTAATAATTAGGTTAAAACCAAAACCAAGCCATTCACACAGAACGCATATTCAGCGCATTTTTTAGATAGAAAAATATGACTGTTGCACTCGCGTCTCACACAAGAGATGTAGCCATGCAAAGTTAAAAAAAAAGTTTAAACTTTTAGGAAACGTTACAAATTTGTGAAGGTTTATTCCATTTCACTGCGTCTCTTATGTTTTTAAATGCAATCTGTGTGAATGGCGCTCTTTGTATTAAGCAATGCATGATGCTGTTTTGTTTATAATTGTTTATGCAATTTACGAAATTATATTTGATTTATATATGTTAATTTAGACGTTATGCAAGTTTTTTTATAGACCATTGTTATTTCATTGCACCCTCCTGTGGCCTCGGGAGACAAGACAAATGTTTCCTTAAGACTTATTTAATCTGCATATAAAACATAAAGGAGATATTTGTTTACATTTTATTTTGTGTTTGACTTAAAACAAAGCAAAAAAAATATTTGTTGTCTTAATAAATTGGGTAAACTAAAAATACAGAGGTTAAATTTTTTTTTTAAATTCTATTGCTCTTTGTTTTAAAAAGGGTTATTAAAATGTCAATAATTATCGATACCGAATGATATGAAACATTATATCGTTGATACATTTTTTTAGCTATATCGCCCAGCCCTACTTCAGCCTATAAATAGGCTTGCTAGCTGAAAGGAAGTCCGTTATTGTTCTGATTGTGGATTGAGCAGTGTTGCACCCTTGGACCATTTGGTTTAGCCAAATTAGCACATTGTTGCTGTTTTGTTTTCTTTTTGTACAGTTTTTATTTATTTTTGTTTCCTCGTGCACTGTAAATATTTTTCCACCTTCCAATAAAACACAATTTTTGGGGGGGGATTACCAACATTTTGTACAGAGCGTCATTTCCTTTTCCGCTCCAACTGTTTGGCCCCCTTACAATTTGTCTTAAATATAAATAATATATGTTGATTCTGACACAAAAACAAAAACAGTTTGAATCAGTGATAGTGTCATCCAGATATGTTGGAATGTCACCGGTACAGTAGAAAAAAAAATTGTTCTGGTGCCATATTTAATTGAACACAATTAAAACAAGCATTGAAAGAGAGGCATACAGTCTGTTCAACATGTCATAATGTGTACCTGGGTGTTGAATGTTCAGCCGATAAAGGTGTCTAGACATGGCTTGTGAGTGTTGTTTACCACCACGCTCTGTCTGAAAGCAATAAAATGGTCAGACAAAAAACAGGTTGTTTCAAGAGACAATATACTTTATTAGTATTTATTTACTAGCCTGAAAATGATTTTATAGTCCATTTTCCTGCACCTTTCGCTTCATATACAAGTGAGGGATGAGATTACACAAGGCAGAGATGGGGCATTATGGGATGGGTTCATTGTTCCAGAGGTTAGTGCAGAGTGAATTGTATTGTGTTGATGGAATGTGCTTGAATCGATGTGCCAAACCTGCGGTACAATATCAGAAGAAGGGGATTTCCATATAACCTCTTGAGTCTGAGGATATTTAAATATGCACAATTTTATTTGAAGAACACAAATGCACTGTTATGCAGCTATAATATTTTCTTAATATTTCCTTTATTAATAAATATCCCTGTTTTTATAGTGTCATGATAAGAGTGTCATGTGCAAATTCGTTTTTATTCATCTTTTATAAAAATACAACAAATTTGACCTGAAACTATTTTTATCTATTGAGTCCATACGAGTAAAGAAAAAAAGAATATAAACCATAAATATCATAGACTAGCGTGTTTCCATACAATCCAGTCTTGATAAAATCTTGCATGTATTATTTCCATATGATATTATTAATATTCAATTTAAAAAAAATTTCAGATTTGCCATACAGATTAATAATAAAACTGTACTAATAGTATTAGTAATTTTTACCATATTGTCTTGGTTTAGTAATAATGCATACACTACTGTTCAAAAGTATTTTTTTTTTTTTTTTAGAAGTTTCTTCTGCTCACCAAGGCTGTATGTATTTAATCAAAAATACAGTAAAAAGTAATATTGTGAAATAGTATTACAATCTAAAATGACTTTTCTATGTGGATATATTTTCAAATGTAATTTATTTCTGTAATGCTAAGCTGAATTTTCAGCATCATTACTCCAGTCTTCAGTGTCACATGAAACTTCAGAAATCATTTAAACAGTTGTGAATGATGTTTAATATTTTTTGTGGAAAATGTGATTTTAAAAAAATTATAAATAGAACAGCGTTTATTTTGAAATAGAAATATTTGTAACATTATAAATGTCCTTACTGTGATTTTTTTATTCATTTAATGCATCCTTGCTAAAATTATAAATCTAAACAGACCACAAACTTTTGAACGGTAGTGTATATGCTTTATTGTATATTTTTAGAATTTAGTGCAATTTTTTAGATAATATTTATTTATATGAAAGTCACATGCTCAGTGGCAGCTTGCTGTCAAAGCAGTTCAACTGTATCATCCTAACTAGCAACATGACAAAAATATCCACCTCGGTGTGAAGCTTCCTGAAATGTATTGCGGTGATTTCCCACAATGTAAAGTGAAGTGAAAGAAAGTGAACTGAAAGTAAGCATCACATGACGCGTAAGGTACTTAATGAATGAATGTCACACGACGGGAGGCCTTCAGTGGAGGCCCTTTTGTATAGTTATACACATTTGTGAACTTTCTAGAATTACATTTAAAGGTGGAATATCATGAAAATCTGACTTTTCCAGGTTTTAAGTGCTATAATCAGTAGGGCTGTGTATCACCAGCAAAGTCACGATACAGAGGCCACGATACGATACCTCAGTATTTCACCTCAGCAGAATTTACTAAAACAACTGTTTATTAAACACTGTATACTATAGTGCCATTTCTAACTATTGGCAGAGCAGGCAGTTGACCTCTGCATTATGAAGGGCCTCCAAAACTGTACCACAGTACAATATAGGTAATGGCATATGTTTCATGTTTACATTGTGCACTCCCCACCAGGTACAATATTCTGATTGTTTGCATATTGTTTTTAAGCCCATAAATAATAAAGTACTCGTTCTAATAAATTTATATTGTAATGTACTCATTCTAATATATAAAAAAAACATCATAACATTGCTGGTAGGTTATCATTGTAAAATTAGAAGAGTTCTAAACTAATGCGCTATCTTCTGTATCTAACACACACACACACGCTCAGTCATTCACACAGATCACGTTGCGGCCACACTCAGACATTCAGGAACAAATTTTAGCACTGCCCCGCAATTTTATCAACTAAATAACTTAATCGCTCAAGAGCTACATTATCTTTCTCAACAAGGAGCTGGTAACATCATTGTTTTTAAAGGAATTAAAGCCACAGCTTCACTGTTAATAGAGAAACGCAGAAAAACAGTGGTAATTCATACTTACACAGCCTCTCTCTCTCATAAATGAACACTTGATGAATTACACTTTTCTGAGAATAGAATATAGAAGTGGAGATCGCTAAACTGCAAGCTAGTTTCGAGGATTATGGCTCTTTATATCAGGCAACCCAGTTGTGTTCCTCTGCGGCCAGATTAAACCTTGTTGTAGCCTATATATATATTATGCTCTATTCATTATTTTTTTAGAAACCACACACTTTTCTACTCAATTTTAAACGTTGTTCTTGTATTAAAATTAAGTGCGGTCCACTGCTGCACACGTGCCACAATATCGATACAGGGCCAGCTGTATCGATACTCGTCTCGTCAAATCTCTGTGACGATACATTGTCATATCGATGTATCGAACACAGCACTAATAATCAGGTCCCTGGTGCATCTACCAACCAAGGAAACGTGAAAAAGATTAACCCAGTAACTTTGTTTTGGTAAGCCTTTTTCTGCAAGCGTCTGAGAAAACGAGCACTTCAGATTTTGCTCCATCTGTAAGTTTACACTCACGGTGCCGTTATTGTGTTTTCGCAAGCGACAACGGTGTACCAGTTCTAATGCCATGGTGAAAGTTTGAGCAAAATATGCTAACTGTTCTGTCTTTGGCTGCACAGACGAGCACAGAACACTGTTTAAAGTCCCAGCCTCAGAAGAGACGAGAGCAGTGGATTTATAGATTTATTTACTGTATATTGCTGCTGCCACACAGAACTAAAATAAACATGCGATTTATTTCCCAGCTGTTTACCTTCACAGACATAACCGACTGTTTTTTGTAACTCATGTGTGTTTTTAACATAAACTTGTGTGTGAATGAGAACTTCGTTTAGTACTCACATGCCTGTGACAGCCGCTTTCTGTCCGTGTGCCCTCAGAAAACCATATATCAAAAGTTTAAACTCGTATGGTTTAAAACGCATGATTTCAGTGCCATAAACATGATAATCAGAACCAAAACAGATGTTTTTAGCAGTTCCGAGCTGTAATGGCGCAGCTCTATTCAGGAAAAGGGGGCGGGGAGCAGCAGCTCATTTGCATTTAAAGAGACGGGCCCGAAAAACAGCGTGTTTCTGCTTCCACTCAAAATAGGCATTTTCAAAATGATATAATAAATGATCTGTGGAGTATTTTGAGCTGAAATTTCACAGACACATTCTGGGGACACCAGAGACTTAGGCCTATATTACATATTGTAAAAAGGGGCATAATATGTCTCCTTTAAAGAGTAAAAATTAAAATGTAATCATTATTATATGGTCTCTTTGTGTCTTTTACATCGACTTGTTTATAATTTTCACTTATAAAGTCATTATGTGGGTTTGTTTTTCTTTTTTATGTCCCACCGTGACTTTATCGATCCCATTGCTGTCACTAGGATGTGACTGTTTGTTTTTATTACACGAAACGGTGAATTTCCCTCTTCCTTTTTTGCCCGTCTGTTTACTCTACTCGTGATCCATCATGAAACTCTGAACGCTGCTCTTACATTTCTTCTGTCTCTTTTTCTCAGGCAGCAGCTTATCAACGGCCCATTGGACATGGCCACGGATTTTTTTCCCAACGGTCTCAGCGACTTTGACTTCCCTGGTCTGAATCTCACTCGGAATGACGACCTCCCTCCGGTAAGACACTGCTGTTCAGGATGTTGGCATATTTTGGAGGCTTTGATCCTCCTTGTGTTGTGTTCACGGCTGATGAAATGACCTCAAGATGGGATGAAGACTGTGTTTGTCATCTCAGAGAGACTTGTTATCAACAATCGACAAGCTATAGTTACTTGGCTGTTTGAGAATTTAGTATGTGTAGCATCTTTCCTTTCCATTATCTTTTATGAATATGAATATAACGGTTTTACAGTTAACTTTTTTTTCAGGAAGCTTTTTAGGAAATTTCAAGTCTGTAAATGGCATCAGCTTAGAGTTTGAGTGGATTTGAGTGGCAAGAGCCATTTTTAGGGCTAAATAACCTTTTTTAGGTTTTGTAAAGCAGTGGATGGGTTGTGATCATGGAGTCAAAGTTTGGCCTGTTAGTAGGGCTGCTCGATTATGGCAAAAATCTTTAATCTAATCTTAAATGATTATTTTTTTATTAGTATTGAGCTAGTATGATTAGTATTGAGCTTCAGTTGGCACAAATTTGTCTGTCTGTACAGGTTGCATGACATCCCCATGATTTGTGACATTCGCAAGGTTTATTTGCATGGTAAACTATTGGCTGCTAAGTGCGTAAAACCATTGAAATGCATTTTTTATGATTAACAATATGGTACTGTGCTTGGTACTGGATCGCCACTGAAGAAGACATGCAGGAGTGTAGAATGAGAAACCTTAACCTCAAAGACAACTTTCAGCCAAAAAGCACTCTATGTAAAAGAAAAACGTTCTAAATATAAAACAGGTTTTCTGAACATTTCCCCCATCTGCCATTGTCCCACTGCCATTGCAATGCTTCCACTTTCATTTCTACAGAACAAATCTTTTTTTTTAAGAAAAGGTGCCTCCCAAACAGGACAGACGGTAAAAAGAAAACACGAACTGACTGACGTGATTCATTTCAGTGTTGTCACACCTTTTTCCCGTCATGTTTAAACCTGCGTCCCGCACCTATAAGTGGAACATAATGGGGATTAAATGTGGATCCACCCTTCTGACCCCTGCATAACAGCACGAGCTGCTCATTTCATGCCCTGCGGCTCTCTGCCATTTTCACTGTGTAGGAGTCAGACACCAGCGACAAATTCTCTGGCTCCAGGCAGCGCTGTAGCACTTTAATCGCCACACGCTCTGACACTGTAACAAAATCACACAAGCACTGGTTTCAGTTCCCTCCTCGCTGTAGCTATGTTTACTTGAGCGTTTGTAACAGGAACATTACCTCAGCGGCTAAATAGATAAACCCATTTCAGTCTCAATGGGCTGAATGGGGAAAAAGACAAAAATAAAGCTAAATAAAGGCACCTGTTTTGGAGTGTGGGTTGATGGGAAACATACGAAAGAGAAAAACACTTAAGTGAAGCATTCAGACTGGATGAAAATATTTTATAGTGCTTTTTCTGCCTTTTTATTTTCAGTATTCATAATAATTATTGAATATTAGACAAAACCTGACAAATATATTAAATTAAATGTTAAATGAATAAGAAAGGTAGAAAAATTGTATGTATTTGTGTGTGTGTGTGTGTGTGCATGTTTATGTGGTTTATGAGGACACAAATTTGTATAATAACATGGGTATGACATAGGTATTACAACGAGAAAGTGTTTTATGAGGACATTTTCAGTGTCCCCGTAATTCAAAAGGCTTATAAATAATTCAGAATGAGTTTTTTTGAAAATCTAAAAATGTAGAAAGTTTCCTGTGAGGGGTAGGTTTAGGGGTAGGGTTGGTGTAGGACAATAGAAAATACGGTTTGTACAGTATAAAAACCATTACGCCTATGGAGAGTCCCCATAAACCATAAAAACAAACCTGTTTGTGTGTGTGTGTGTATACATTAGATATATCCTGACAAATATTATTTAAAAATTATATAAGTTGTATAAGTAATTGCAATAATATTTTGAATATTAATTTGGACTGTATTTTTGTAATTAAATATTGTCAACTATTCATATTACATTATATTTTTCTGCTTATCGCCAATATTCAAAATATTTCGTCGTCCCATAAATGGATTGTACAAGCTTCTCAATGTCCTGATTCAGAAAGCATTTAATCGTTCAAAAATGTAAAACGGCACTGTTTGATGATGCAAATGAGTTGTTGAAAGTATTTATTGTTATGAAATTATTTTAACAGTCTGAAAAAAAAGAGGAAAAAAAACAGACTCTCGGAAATCAATCCAAATCCTAAATGTAATGATTTAGCATGTTTAGTTAGAGATGCTCTGGTCAAATAGAAAGCGCATTTTCATTCGTGTCAAATGAAATCTTCCATCTGCTCTTGCTAACGTCAGTTTTTTTGGTCTAGTACAGTCGGATTTAAACATGTCTGGGTGATTCAGACTCAAGAAAGGTGCATGGTGAGTAAGACATCCTCTGTTGTGGTTAGTGCCATGCTTTCCTTCAGAAGATCACAGTCATGGCACAGAGCTGCTGCCAGGGAAGACTCTCCATCACACTGACACTAAGAAAATATAACTCATGAGCTCATGACTAATAGAGCGAGAAGCCTTCGAGAGAGCCGCGCATGCTCTTCAGATGAATGCAGCCTAATATCCCCGCAGCGTTTCTGCATGTCTTTCTAATAAGTGCCACACACTCGATCTGTAAATAAGCTTTCAAAGCAGTGAGCTTGTTCAGGATGTTGTTCCTCATTATGTGAAGCTCTCTCAGGATTTCCTCTTTTTGTTTAGACACGAATTGTTGTTTACAGGATGTACGACCATACAATCAAAATAACGACAGACCACAAATCTTCTAGCCTTGCACCCACAGCTTGATGCTCTATTTAAGATACTCTGTTTACAAGTTTGATTAGTGACGGATCACAAGTATGTTTTTGTTTTTAATAATAATAGTATTACTATTATTATTCATCCAATTTCATTTTATTTGATAAAACCTGACAAATATTATTTAAATATTAATTTATATATGATAATGATAAATAAAAAAGTCATCATGTATTGTGTATGTAATATTATCATAATATCATAATAGCTATTATTAATATTTATCATACGTTTTCATTGTAATGCTATTAATAAAGATATTAATATTTATCATAATTTTCATTTTTATATGTGTGTGTGTGTGTGTGTGAGACAGAAAGAGAGAGAGAATAATAAATAAATTAAATTGTGTATATGTGTAATCATATATAATAATAGTAATATTATATATTTATTTATATATGATAATGATAAATAAAGACATTTATTATGTGTATATCATATAATTTATTTTACATGTATCAAAATATCTCTATTTTTTACTTTTTAAATGATAATAGTAATGGTATTATTCATATTTATCATAAATTTTCATTTGTGTGTGTGTGTGTGTGTGTGAGAGCGAGAGAGAGAGAGGTGATAATAAATAAATATGTTATTTATTATGTGTATATAATGTGTAGTCATATATAATAGTGATATCATATATTATATAAAAATATACTTTTTGTATTTTTAATATTTGTTTATATTTATGTTTACATATTTATAAATTATGATAAATGATGATAGATAAAAAATAATGATAAAATTATATAATGATAATGTCATTTAATACCATTTATTTTATAGGCTGTATGTTATACTAATTAATAAAGATGAAACCATAATAAATAAAAATGAACAATAATTAAAAAAAACAATAATAATTATATTATTATTATTATTAAATAAAATAGAATATATATATATATATATATATATATATATATATATATACATACATATAAATGTAAAATAAGTTAATATGTATTTTACTGGTAACATTGTTTTATATAATTTTCACAACTGCTTATATATAATTAAAATAATGTTTATAAAAGTTTATAGATCATAAAAAGTGTTGGCAACAATTTACAATAAGGTCTCTTTGGTTAACATTATTTAATGCGTTAACTAACATGAACTGACAATGAACAATATATTTTTAGATTTATATATATATATATATTTTTTTTTTTTTTTTTTTTTTAACCATTCGATCTAAAAAGCTTTTAGGTTACATAATTGCCTGAACAATTTCTATGTATTTTAAATTTGTTAGCATTAATTTAGGTTTTTACATGTTTGTTTTCTCTTTGTATTAAACCAGAGATAGGAGGTGTGAATGATCACGCAGTGTTCTTGCATCAATTCTTTTTTTTCTTTTTTTTTCCCTTCTTTCTGGTGATCTTACTTGCACACATGCTAATTGTCACCTGTCACACATACTGTAGTCATGCACCTGGCCTGAGGTCGTTGATAAGTTTGCAGCCGTGCAAAAGCACAGAGCTTTACTGAACCCAGCTGAGCGCTTGAAGAGACAGTGACTGCACTGGAAACGCACTGTGATTCTTTTCACACTCATGCATGGACCTTCAGTTATAAAAAATAAGAAATCTGGTAATGAATGAAGGTATTATACAAATGCATATGGTGATTATTATTTCTCTTAGTTGTTTTTTCTGGCCTAGCTCTGCACTTCGCTTCTGATTGGCTACAGAGATGCTTGTTAAGGAGGAAGTAGGCATTTTCATGAGCTAAAGTGTTCATTTGTTCATCTGTTTCTCAAATGGAAACATTCCTCTTGGTTTATTTGCTTTGATGAGCACATAAGATGTTTCACAATCTAAAGGAAAAGACAACCTGAACTCTACAACACAAGAGAATGTGAAACCGCAGGCCAACCACAAAGCTCACAGACCTACATGCATTTGCGTACTCCTGTCACAGGCACGTTTTGTAGTGCATGCATCATCATCTGCGTCTCTGGGAGGGTCTTTGGAAAGAAATTTTTTTTTTTCTTGAACTACTTAGTGTTTGAGCACTCTGCAGAGATTCATTTAAATGTTCAGACGGCTATAGGTGGGAGGTTGCGGTAAGTGGATTTCAGAGGAAACCTACAGTTGTTAATTTAGCCTACTCCATTTAGACTTAACTGGAAGCCATTTTTCCTACACACCTTACAAG